GAACATTAAAGGGGCATGAACAGGGACAAAGAAGATTTGTTTGTTTTTTTTTAAAACAACCAAACATTCAAATGCTTTGAAGAATATTCCCAGACTGACTTTGTGCTCCAGCCCTCCAATGATTTGGTTATGCTGGTTATGTCTCTATTAGAAGTGTTGCCATTTATTCAACATAGTTATTTAGGGAAAGCCTGCAGAGATGCATCCTATAAGACTTTTATCCTGGGCTTCACCAGCTGCTGAATGAAACTATTGTGCTGGATCATGAAGACGGAGGTGGCCTCTCACATATACAGATCCTAACCCATTCAGAGTTTTAAAGGTGGACTCCAAGATCTGGAAGTGGATTTGGGACAGGACAGGAAGACAATGCGGGGAATAAGCACTGACATATTGTGATTTGCATTTCCTAGTAGATGGGCTGCTGCATGTTGGACCAGATGAAGCTTCAGCACATGCCTCATGATCAAAGCCAGGTAGAGCACATTGCAACGTTCTCACATGTAGGGGGCAAAACCATGACTCACTGCAGCTAGGTTTGCATCTGAAAGGAAGGCCACAGTCACTGTGTCAGACAAAGGTAGCAAAGGGCCTAACTATAGCTACTATTAATGTTGAGGAGCAACAAGAAATCTAGTAGGACAGCTGTATTGTGCACCACTTTGATGACTGGATAGAGCATAGACTCAAATATCTGCTGTGTCCCCTTCCACTCACAAAATAAAGTCTATAAAATGCTTTGGGATCCCTCATCATGAAAGGTATTTTTAAAATATAAGCTATTACTATTGTTAACTGCAGCAAAATGGTAACAGTAGGCAGTGGATTCTCCCCAGTCTTCCTGCCCGCCAACTACTGAGATCATCTGTTCAGAGTTCCACAGTACCAGTGACTAATGGGGGTGAAAGGAAGTTCAGCAATTATTTCTTCATAGCAGTCTACCAGACCAAAAAAAAAAAATAGAGTATAGACTTGTGTTTTAAGTATCTCAAAGTCTCTGCCAGCCAGCATGGGATATAGCTTGGAAACATTCCAGAGATGGTGATGAGATGACTGCACAGAAAAAGAAAAAAAAAATCTCAGCGCTGGTCTACACTACAGAATGACTTTGACATAATTCTGTTGCTCGGGGGTGTGGATTATTCACACCCTGAGTGACATAGTTATACCAGCTAAGCACTAGTTTAGACAGCGCTATGTCAGCAGGAGAGCTTCTCCCAGTGACATAGGTACCGCCTCTCACGGAGGCTGAGTTAAGCCGATGGGGGAGCTCTCTCCCGTCGCTTTACAGTGTCTTCACAAGAAGCTCCACAGTGGTGAAGCTGCACCACTGTAAATTTGTAGCATAGACCTGCCCTTAGAATTCAAATTACTTCAAATGTAGAGAACCTGGTCTCACAGGTGTTAACAGCTGTGAAAGTAGAAGTACAAAAGTTGGGGTTGCGGGTACATCACAATCATAGAAATGTAGGGCTGGAAGGAAGCTCAAGAGGTCATCTAGTCCATTTTCTCATGCCAAGGCATGATTAAAAATACGTAGACCGTCTCTGACAGGTTTTTGCCTAACCTGTTGCAGAATTCCCATCCCTGGAAGCTTGTAACAACTTAAACTATTCCAGTGCTTAACTACCCTTAGCTATAAAGATTTTCCTCATATCTAATCTAAATGTCAATTGCTGCAAACTAACCTTATTATTTCTTTTCCCACCCTTGGTGAATAAACAGAACATAATCCTCATGTAATAATCTTTTATATAATTTAAGACTGTTACCATGTCTCCCCTCAGCCTTCGCTTCTCTAGACTAAACACTCCCAATTCTTCCAACCTTTCCTCATAATCATGTTTTGTAAACCTCATATTTTTGCTGCTCTCCTCTGGAGTCTCTCCAATTTCTTCACATCTTTCCTACAGTGTGGTGCCAAAACTGGATATAATACCCCAGGTGAGGTCTCCCCAGTGTTAAGTAGAATGGAACAATTACCTCCTGTGTCTTACATATAATATTCCTATTAATACACCCCAGAGTGGTATTCACCTTTTTCACAGCAGCAACATAATGTTGACTCTCATGACAAGCACTAAGCACATAAAGTAATAAGGAAGTGTTATTTACTCCTTCACATAACACAAGAACTAGGGGTCACCCAATGAAACTAATAGGCAGCAAGTTTAAAACAAACAAAAGGAAATACTTCTTCACTCATCACACAGTCAACCTCTGGAACTGTATGCCAGGGGATATTATGAAGGCCAAAACTATAAACAGGGTTCAAAAAAGAACTAGATAAGTTCATGGAGGATAGGTCCATCAATGGCTATTAGCCTGAATGAGCAGGGATGGTGTCCTGAGCCTTTGTTCAATAGAAGCTGGGAGTGGACAACAGGGGATGGATCATTTAATGATTACTTGTTCTGTTCATTCCCTCTGAGGCACCTGGCATTGGCCATTGTCAGCAGACAAGATACTGGGCTAGATGGACCATTAGTCTGACCCAGTATGGTTGTTCTTTTGTTCATCTTGCCCAAATTCAGGTCACAAGCATTAACATCTAAGCCTGAATGTTCCAAAGACAGCAAGTTAGAATCAAGAGAACCTGCTCAGGTGCCATACTACAGATCTGGATATTATCTGGGCACATGGCATAGTGAAACCATCGAGTTTTAATGTAACCACACAAATACAATTAATGGACACACCATCTGATAATGTTCAGTTTAAAAGAGTGCTCTCATGAGCTCCTAGTGTGAAAAAAAATATGCAATCATGGGCACTGATTATGTAAAGATTTATACATTGAAGCCAGTAAAGCTAGTCATGTGCTGAAAGGTAAACTAGTGTGTAATTCTTTGCAGGATCAGGGCTGTAGTTAGTAAAACTAACATCTTTGGTGACAGGCTTCCCAGAGAGGTCAAGGGCTGAATGAAGCATCAGGTGCCCTTGTAAACCAAGAGATATTCTCTCCTGGTCAGAGTGGAGGCACACTGATGGGCATTGGGGGGTGCTTGGGATTGAATGGCAGGTGCCTACGTCCTGGGGGCCAATAGAAACAATCTATGCAAATTCGTCAATCACTTACACTCTGGCAGCTTTTAGCAACATGACCATGTCTATGTTTAATTGTGTTTGAATTAATCAAATCAATATAATTTAAATTAAGTGCCCTAAAAATCTATTTTTAAATGGTATTAGTTGTTATTGTATCTTTTGTACAGATTAATCTGTTTTAATTAGATTAAATGTTTATCTATGACAGGTTTTAAACCTCATTAAGGGCCAGATCCTCAGCTGGTGTAAATTGGTGTAGTTCCACTGAAGTCAGTGTAGGTATGCCTATTTACGCCAGCTGAGGATCTTGCCCTTAATGTTTTCAAATAATCTAACTGCAATTAAAATACATACACTGCCTATCTTTATTAATCTAACTACTTAAATGTAAAATGGCACTGGTATTAAATTGATCTTTAGTCATGCATTTATTGCCCTGATTAAAGACAAGAATTAGAAATCTAAGACCACGACTGAAACCAACCAACCCACCAAAAACACACACTAACATAAATTAGTTGCACTGAAATCAATGAGACTAAAGCACATACCAATATACTTTCTTGAATAGAGATGCTTTCTTGAACTGGGGCATTTAAGTAGACCAATAGCCTAGTGAAGTCAATGGGACTACTTAGGTGCTTAAAGTTAGGCCCCAGGTCAGCAAAGTACTTATGCAGATGCCAAAATCCTAAATTTAGTCTCCTAGATATGAAAGAGCCTAAATCCCCACTGACTGTCAACCGGATCTTGACTCTGAAGTGCCTAAATTCCTTTTGAAAATGAGCTTTAGAGTCATAACTCAGTTAGGCATTGCAACACTAGTGCTGCAACACCTAATACTAACCCCCCCCCCCCCAAACAAACGAACAAAAAACACTGGGCCTAAGGGCCAGATTTTATAATATATTTAGGAACCTGAAGACTCAGATAAGCACTAAGTGGAATTTTCATAAGCAGCTAAGAGCTTAAGTCCCATTTAAATCAATGGGTAGTCAGTATCCAACTTGCTTGGGACTTGTGAAAATTGCACAGGGCTCCTATCTGCATCTTTAGGTGCATTAGCACTTCATCCTGATTCATCAAAGCGTATAGCACATGCTTAACTTAAAGCACATCGGGTAGCCAATGATGTTGATGGGACTATTCACATGCTTAAAGTAAATCATGTGCTTAGTTGGATCAGGCTAGAGTACTTAGCACCTTGCAAGATCAAGCCCTTAATTAAGTACCCTGCCTTCTAGGATAGATAGGGGTGAAGAGAATATCTACCAGTACTTGCAATCAACTGGACATGCAAAATAGGATAAATAACCACGTATCAGCACTTATTAACTATGACTTGTGACTCAGTTGCTCATGCTTTACAGATGAAGTGGATGGTGTTTATTCTTTAAGCTCTTGAAATTCCAGTTGGTTTTTAAGAAGGAGCACAGATAAACCCACGTTTTTAAGGACAAGACATACTTAAAGGTGACAAGAGATGCTTAACAAAATCCACAAGAGGCATTAGAAAGGAACATTATTTAAAATAATAAATCTCACTTTGAGTAGGGTTGTTTCATACACTTAATTTTAATTGCAAATTCTTCTTGTTCTCATATCACTATTGATAGATTTGAGAGAGATGGCATACATCATTAATTTCACTGTGTAGGGGATAGCATTTCAAACAGTAGCTTTGCTGACCCAACTCCTACAGCCTGTCTGATTGTTATGAAATTGTGGTACAGCATTAAGGAACATTGGATCTAATGTTACTGCCATATTAGTCAAGGCATTTGGAAATGTATCTTTAATGACTTTAGTATGAAAAAAATGTCTTTAACAAAAGTCTTAGTAAAAAGAAAAGGAGGACTTGTGGCACCTTAGAGACTAACCAATTTATTTGAGCATAAGCATAATGCATCCAATGAAGTGAGCTGTCGCTCACAAAAGCTTATGCTCAAATAAATTGGTTAGTCTCTAAGGTGCCACAAGTCCTCCTTTTGTTTTTGCGGATACAGACTAACACGGCTGCTACTCAGAAAAAAGTCTTAGTGTTAGTCTTGGTACCCGGGCCGATTTCCAATTTGGGCAATTGCGTTCTGCCTATGTAACATTCCCTCAGTAGCTTTAATTGGGTAGTTTTCTTTCTCACAGTTTGTTATAGTCTGTTTTGTCACATTGCTTTGTACTATTAAACCATTGTATTTCTTCCCAGAGGTGGCTGCACTTCATTGGTGGGTGCAATGATTCCTGTCTAAGCATTTTTAATATAGCCCCATGAACAGAATTAAGACCCCAATTCTGCAAGGTACTTAAGCATGTGCCTAACTTTAAGCATGTGAACAGTCACAGCTACTCATTTTATCCAGCTGTGTTCAACAGAAAGCTCATTCAGGCCCTGAGCCTGCAAAAACGTATGCACATGAGTAAACACACTGAAGTCCAATGGACTACTGACATGGTTAAAGCTGGAGATTGGCTTAGGTGCCTTATGGAACTGGGACCTAAAGAAGCACATTTCCATCTTGTAAAAAAACAAACACAAAAAACCCCACACCTTTTATTTCTGTTGTATACCAATAATGTAGATTTTACTCAAAAAACCACCACATTATCCAGTGCTCATCTGTCTTCCTGAAAGGACATTGATAGGCCTCTCATCTAATACCCTCATTACTAAGGCTACATCAACGCCGTAAGCCTGGGGTGTGATTCCACAGCTCCCACACCCAGACTTGCAGTAGTCCGGTGAGGCCTAGAATGGGTATAAGTAACGTAGGCACAGTAGCACAGGCAGCCGCAGCATTCATCGATCTACCACAAGTACGTGTACGTGAGCAGAGGAAATCACAGCCCTACCTTGTAGATTGAGCCCAGAGGAAAGCTTTTGCTGGAGAAAAGATTGGAAGTGTGTCCTCATTCTAATCTCTATTGGCAGGGAATTCGACAGACAATAGCCTAGAATGTAGGTCAGCTGAGGACATCCTGTCTGAAGTGTGAGACGGCTTGCTGACTGCTGTAGAGGACTCATGGAGGGAGAAGTTCGAAGGCAGATTGGTCCACACTCCCTAGAGGCTTTAAAAAAAATCAGAATCAGGACCTTGATTTGTGTTTGTCATAGCACAGGGAGACAGTATTGGCCACTGAACACCAGTGTGATCCATTTTCAGCTGGTAGGGAGGCTGGTCCAGGTTGAAGTTTCTTGGTGGCCTTTAAAAATAGCCAGATGACTGAAGACTGGACCACTGTAATTAGGTCCTCAGTGGAAAGGAATGGGTACAGTCTCATACATAATTATCTTCTGTCATGTTCAGCATATAAAATTGAGCCTTGGACTCCCATATATAAAGGATTCCAGTGAGGTCTGCTGAAGGGGCATGAGCAAAAACAGATTGATGTAGTTCACCCATTCCTTCTAGGTTTAGTATTTTATGACCTCTGATGTCAATGGCAGCTAATAGATCTAATAACGTCAGCGCAGATGTTTGTCCACTGTTCATGGTTCTAAGGAGATCCCTCACTATAGCAGTCATTTGGAAAACAGCCTGAACCTTGCGAAAGGTAGCAGGAATAGAGCTGGTTGCTGGGGGTGAGGGGGACTATGATTCAAAATTTTGAAGTTGCTTTTGTTTCTCAGGGCTTGAAGTTCATCATCAATGTTTTTGTCATAATGGTTTTTGCTAAACAAAAAATTGTGATAGCCATTTTGAGGGGGAAAATAGAGCTTAATTTGTCCCCAGGCTTACCAGGGTTCAGCCCCAGCACCTCTTCAGTCCCTGGCATGCACGGTGTGACCTCTCATTTAGAGGACATATGACATCACACCATGCGGAGAACATCATTATTATTGGTTGAGCTCCTGTACTTGTCATCCCAAATCAAACACTGGAAAAAACCCACTATGAAACACAGTGAAAAAGGAAGAGTCTGATTATTACAAAAAAAATTTTCCACCAACAAATGGTTCTAATAAAAAGCCATTTTTCAATTAAAGAACTTTTAATTTAAAAGATTTTGACCTGGTCTAATCCTGAGGGGTAACATTTTCAAAAGCACTTAAGTGGTTTGGTAGCTACAGTGACATTTTCAAAAGTGACTTAGGCATATTGAAAATCAATGGGATGTGGGCTTCTCAGTGGCTAAGTTACTTTTGAAAATGGGACTCTGCCTACCAAGCCATTTAGGCACTTTGGAAAGTTTTACTCAAGATCTTTAATGACCCATAATGGTCATCATCTCATTCTTGTTCTCTTTGGAGTGAGGATATCTCTAGCATCAGTGCTCCCAGCCATATCACTCTGGAGTTTCATATAAAGTCTCCCATCCAAATGTTGACCACACTGTTCTTCCTAAGCTTCTGAGACCTGAAAAGATTAAAATCCAACTTTCTGTTGTTCTCTAATATGTATTTTATATAGTTTCAACCATCATCCACTGCACAGATGGCTGAATTCATTGTGACAGTTGACACATTTATAACTGATTGGAAATACATATTTTAAAATCTCAATATTAATAGCATGATTTGGGGTTTTCACAAGTCAAAGATGTAACATTTTAGAGATGGTCCAAACTTTAGTGTTCAACAGCTAGACCCCAGTTTTCATAATATTTATACCAGGAAAGGCTGAATCTGGGAATTGGGTATGGCCTAGTATAGACATAAAGGTCGAGTTACAAAATTCAGATCGTGGTCCAAAGTTCCTCAAAATGAAGGGATATTTGTATTTCTGGTTTTGTTTCAAGCCTATCTCTAAATATTTTAGATCAGGAAGGTTACTAAACGTACTAGTAACTGACCATTATGTCAGGAGTATGACCACTTATCCCATCAACTAATGCAAGCCTGAATGCCCAATAAAACATGAGCTCAGAATCTGGGAGCTACAGAGATACAGAGGGTGAGGGGAATAAAAATCTTTCCTAACAAAAATATCATTGCACATAGTGACTTGCTGAAAATTCATCTATAAATAACAATAGATAAAGAAATTAAATGTAGTGAACTCCTGTTATGTGTAATGGAATATTCTTAGTGGAATGATTGGATTCACATTCCTTCCCCCACCATATATATCACCTCAAGAGTTACATGTATTTTACAGAATATTACACAGAGCACTATTGTTCAAGGTCTCAAGCTGAGCATTATGCTACAGCTGGATTGTCACCATTAGGCATTTGTCTCAGTCTGATTTAGGGAGAAAGTCAATGACCTGGAAATAAATGTGAAACTCTTTAGATGTTTCTCGGAGTCCCAAAACTAATTTCGCTCCTATTGTTGTATTGAATTTTCTAAGGAAGAGAAGAGGGAACACATGGGGGTGACATGCTAAAACGTGAAAAGGCAATAGGCATGCATGTGAACACAGATGCTAATGAACTAGAGAACAGCACTTTAAACTGTTATATTTTCTATACCCAAGTTACATCATTTATTTGAAGTTCAATTCTACTCGGTATAAATGGCATCCTGGGTTTCCATGTTTGATGTGTCAGTAGCTTCCAGAGCAAATATGATCAGTTTACAAAACCTGCTAGCTGTGGATATGAGTGGATTAGGCTCCTTTAGAGTGAAAAGGGTGATAGAAATTAACAGTAATATTTACCTTAATTTATTAACAATCCTGGTGCATTGCTCTTTGATCCCAGCCTATTCTGGGGCAATAATTCTCAACAGTACCGTATGACACATGCTGCATAAATGCCTAACATAGCAGAGGAAAAGGAGCAGAAAGAAACTTCACTTACCTGCCTGAACTCCTCAAGATCTATTTTGTTTCCCACCAGCACCAATGGGATGTCATAAGTGTGCCGGACACGATAAATGAGCTCCTTAAACTCTGCAGCTTCCTGAAAGGATTGGCGGTCTGTGATGGAATAGCAGATAATGAAACCCTCTCCACCTCGCATATATTGGTCCCTCATGGCTGTGAATTCTGCCTGCAGAGTAAGAACGACATGCTCTATAATTTAGTAAACAAAATAATCCGCCTATAAATAATGGACGTGATGAGAGTTTTTCTAGCATAATTTTAGATTGATTGTTTACTTTTTTTAACTAGTTCTTAGCAAAATGTAGTCTTCCTCCAGGGACCAAGACAGCAATTTGTCTCTGGGTAATTCACCTCCTAGTTTTTCCTTAGGCAATTTCTTTTTCACAGATGAGCAATCTTATATTGATTCCTAATATTTCTTAGTCTCATGTTTTTCTAACTTCTTCCACAATATCTGTATTTTGGTGTATGTGGAAGATGCTTACTACACATTGGATACCGACAGATAAGAAGTGAAGAGCACCTGGATCTTATTCCTAAAGATAGCAATTTTAGACTTCAGAGGGGTAGCCGTGTTCGTCTGGATCTGTAAAAGCAGCGAAGAGTCCTGTGGCTTACAGGACTAACAGATGTATTGGAGCATGAGCTTTCATGTGTGAACAGTTACTTCATTTAGACTTGTCTCCTGTTTATAGACTTGATCCAGAGCCCCATCATGTCAAAGGAAAGACTCCCATTGACTTGAATGGGCTTTGGATTAGTCCCTAGAAGACTTGATACAAGAAAAAAAAAACATAATAAAACTTCTATTTTTCATCTAGCACCTCAAAAGACACCAGTTTCCATTCCAGTGTGGAACACTATCACTAAAGTTGGGTGAGCTACTTTGAATAAAATAAAAACTGTTCCAAAAATCTACCCTAAACTCAATGGGAACTTTTTTTGCCACATTAGCATTATTTTTAAAGATAGCTTTTGGTTCAGAACCATATGCCTTGGTCTTGCTCCCCTGGAAGTTAATGGGTATTAACTCAGAGTACAACATTTGGAAAATCTTAAGCTATGCTGTTCAAAAAACAGATCCAATTATTGCCCCCTGAGATTATTTTGGGTTTTTTTAAACAACTTTCATTTTCAAGTGCCTTTGTTCTTGATCACAGCCTGGAATAAAAGTGAAAGGGCCCCAAATCCTATGACAACAGTTGGTCCGAATGAGAATTCTCATGACAGAACTTATTCTCACAAGATTTCCATACTCAAGAGGCTCTAATAAAGTTCAGAATACACCTATAAATGTTGGAGTGCCTCTGTAAGCTGAACCTTTTACCAACCCGAGAATTTAAATTAGGATTTTCAAAGTAGCCTAAGGGAGGAAGGTCCCTAACTCTCACTTAAATTCAGTGGAAACTGTGCATCTAAAACCTTTTGCCCCTTTAAAGTTATCAGCATTAAGCATCTCTAAAGTATTTAACTAGGCCATATGGATTATCATCATCCACAATTGATGGCTCTATACTTGTTGACCATTATCCTGGCCAGGGTTCCTTCCCCACTCTGAACTCTAGGGTACAGGTGTGGGGACCTGCATGAAAGACCACCTATGCTTATTTCTACCAGCTTAGGGTAAAACTTCCCCAAGGTACAAACTCTTTGCCCTTGGAGGGTACACTGCCACCACCAAGTGATTTAACAAAGAATCAGGGAAAGGACCACTTGGAGTTCCTATTCCCCCAGAATATCCCCCCCAATCCTTTACCTCCCTTTCCTGGGGAGGCTTGAGAATAATATCCTAACCAATTGGTTACAAAGTGATTACAGACCCAAACCCCTGGGTCTTAGGACAATAGAGAAATCACTCAGGCTCTTAAAAGAAACAGAACCTTATTAGGAAAAAAAAAGGTAAAAGAAGCACCTCTGTAAAATTAGAAGGGAAGCTAATCTCACAGGGCAATCAGATTTAAAACACAGAGGATTTCCCTCTAGGCAAAAACTTTAAAGTTACAAAAAGAAAACCAGGAATACACCTTCCTCTCAGCACAGAGAAAATCACAAGCTGAAACAAAAGTAAACTAACACATTTCCTTGCTAGTACTTACTAATTCTAATGGAGTTTGATTGCTTTCTTTCTTGATCTCTCTCCGGCAAGCACACAGAACAGACAGACAAAAGCCTTTCTCCCCCCCCGATTTGAAAGTATCTTGTCCCCTTATTGGTCCTTTTGGTCAGGTGCCAGCCAGGTTACCTGAGTTTCTTAACCCTTTACAGGTAAAAGGATATTGTGCCTCTGGCCAGGAGGGATTTTATAGTACTGTATACAGGAAGGTTGTTACCCTTCCCTTTATATTTATGACAATCCCTTATTGTGATCCATCCTTTAATAAGGAGTTTCTCACATATTTCAGAGTACTTTATCTCCACAGGGGAAAAGCTCATACATTTATCTCCAGACTAGCAGATTAATAGGTGGCTTTTGGGTGAAATACTGTGTCAAATTTACTAGAGCTTGTCAAAACCTGGAATTTCCTTCCAAGATACTGTAAAACCATTAGATATTATATATTGTAAAAAGTTGAAACAAAGTGCTTCAAAACAAAACCTTTCACAATTGTCAAAATGAAACATCTTTATTATTTTTATTGCATGTTTTTGTATGTTCCCAGCAAATGTTCATTTGACAATAGAGAATTGTTGCATTGGAAAATTGTTATCTGCTCAATATATACATGTGAGCAATCCCACAGAAGCCAGTCAGGTTTCTCTGGTGTAAATAAGAACAGGATTTAGCCCATAGACTTCTGCTGTGATGAACAGACAAACTACTCAAAGAGGTAAATACAGTATATACCTGTTACTGGAATATGAGGGACCATTTTTTTCTGATAATTGGGAGTTTGGATAATTGAGGGGGCAGGAGTCATTCAACTGGTGGCAGGGGTGGGAGAAGCTTCCCCTCTGGCCAGAGGCTCATCCTCTTTGCAGTCATGGCCAAAGGTCTTTGCTCTACCCACCAGGACCACAGCCTCCCTCCCTGCAGCTGCAGAGAATTTAATGTCACTGGCCCTGTGGCAGCACAGGGAACCCACTGCAGCTCCACTATGATGGCCCAGCTCACTCCCTCTCATGACAGGTGGGCTGCAGAAGGCTCCGTACACCACCACAGGAGCCATTCAGAAGCAACGTGGCCTCCCCCATGGCTGGGGGCTGGTCCTCCTCTCAGTCCTGACCTGGGGTCTCTGCTCTATTATCCAGACCTCCACACTATTCGAAGCCCTTCCTTGTCCTCCATAAATCTCATGCTTGAATGGATTCAGAAAATGGAGGTTTGGGTAATAGGGTTTCCAATAAACAGAGGTACACTGTATTATACAAGTGAAAACCCAACTGAAGTCAATGGGAGCTCCCACACACATCTAGGAGCAGAACTTGACTCAAACCATAGGCCTTAGTCCTGCTGCAATTGAGGTTGATGGCAAAGTTCCCCAGTGACTTCAGCCAGAAAGGGACAGGGTATGGAGTGCTTTATTCAGGATGACTATTCCACAAGGCAAAGTTGCCACTGTCACTCACTCATTTCAAGCATTTTCCCAAAGCCTTTGCTTTCTACATTTACATTTCTACTGCCCTTTGTTTCGAGACATGGCAGTACAGTAAAGTTATGACTTAAAGGATACAAATTAGTTTGTTTATGCAACTGCTTATTCTGACATGTTACTGCAGGTAATGTATTGGATGAACTGCCAAAACACCTTTCGTGCCATGCTTGGAGTGATCCATTTTAGCATGCATTAAATATTCTATGCAAATTGGATTGGGGCAGTCCACCTGTTCATTTGCAGTTTTTCTTGGATTTTGGATGCTGGTTTCCACCTACCTCTCTTGCCTTTGGTATGGTTGCTAATTATGGAGTCAAGGATTAAATTAAAAACCAAGAGACCTTTCTTAGATTTTCCCACTGGTTTCCCTTAATTCTGCCTAGTCACTCAGAATCCTGACATTAGAAGCATCTTCTGGACCTGAATATAAGACAGTATATAGATTTTGGGGCAGAGGTAATTTATGATACACTATAAGAGACCAGTGCTAAATTTTATTAGAGTTGGGACCAAACCAAAACTTATATCTAATCTCCTGGATACACTGATGAAGTTTTAATTCAAGTCCAGATCAAATATCCATTGCTTACTCGATCTCTACAATGAAAAAGTTCAAAATTTTGCATTCCAACAGGTCTGGAATTTGCAAAAGTTCAGAGATGGATCAAGATCTAAGCTTTGTGATTCCTGAAGACGTTACAAGTAACTATTCATGTCAAGGTTCCTCCCCCACTCTGAACTCTAGGGTACAGATGTGGGGACCTGCATGAAAAACCTCCTAAGCTTATCTTTACCAGCTTAGGTCAAAACTTCCCCAAGGTACAAAATATTACACCCGTTATCCTTGGAATGGCCGCTACCACCACCAAACTAATACTGGTTACTGGGGAAGAGCTGTTTGGATGCGTCTTTCCCCCCAAAATACTTCCCAAAACCTTGCACCCCACTTCCTGGACAAGGTTTGGTAAAAAGCCTCACCAATTTGCCTAGGTGACTACAGACCCAGACCCTTGGATCTTAAGAACAATGAACAATCCTCCCAACACTTGCACCCCCCCTTTCCTGGGAAATGTTGGATAAAAAGCCTCACCAATTTGCATAGGTGACCACAGACCCAAACCCTTGGATCTGAGAACAATGAAAAAGCATACAGTTTTCTTACAAGACGACTTTTAATAAAAATAGAAGTAAATAGAAATAAAGAAATCCCCCCTGTAAAATCAGGATGGTAGATACCTTACAGGGTAATTAGATTCAAAACATAGAGAACTCCTCTAGGCAAAACCTTAAGTAACAAAAAAGATACACAGACAGAAATAGTTATTCTGTTCAGCACAGTTCTTTTCTCAGCCATTTAAAGAAATCATAATCTAACACGTACCTAGCTAGATTACTTACTAAAAGTTCTAAGACTCCATTCCTGGTCTATCCCCGACAAAGACAGAATATAGACAGACACACAGACCCTTTGTTTCTCTCCCTCCTCGCAGCTTTTGAAAGTATCTTGTCTCCTCATTGGTCATTTTGGTCAGGTGCCAGTGAGGTTACCTTTAGCTTCTTAACCCTTTACAGG